TCCCTAACGTTCTGTGATTCTGTGAAATACTTGTCTCCCAGAAAACAGAAATCGGGAAGTATTTAAAGAGTTTACTATCTCAACTCTGCATATTAAATCAGGCTTTCTAGACTTACAGATAACTAAAAAAAAACAAAAAAAAGAAAAACGGAAAACTATTATAGCCTAAAAAAAAACCCAAACCTTTCTTTCTCTTCAGGGTAAACCAAGACCCAAAATCATCTGGATGAAAGATGGACAACCTCTAGACTCTAAAGATGTGGGAATTCGGAACAGCAACACGGACACAATCCTTTTCATCAGAAAGGCAGAGCTTCATCACTCAGGAGCATATGAAGTCACTCTTCAGATAGAAAACATGACTGATAAAGTTGCTATAACAATGCAAATCATAGGTAAGAACCTGACAACATCAAAATTAAGCATACCATAGAAAACAACGAAGAGACCATACTGAGGCGATCAGAGATCCAACTGCCTCAGAATCCCTTCTCTGACAATGGTCGATAGCAGATGACCAGGACAAAGCTCAGAGCAGGGCTAGCTTTATTTTCCTAGCATTTTTTCCCAGATTTAAAATGATCTGTGTCCTAGAGACTTTTGGAGGGAGAGGAATTATCTGTGTGTCACATAGCTCTTGAGGGATTTTTTTCTTGCATTATTTTATCCAGTTAGTTTTTCAATCCAGGTCTAGTTTCAGAATCCAAATATCCTTTTGTAAGGAATCTCAGTTTAAGTTCATCTACATCTACCTCTTTGGTTTGTTTTGAGTCTCTCTCCTGATAATCTCATTTGATGTCCATACAGTTTTGTAGCAGAAAAAACCATTAATGATCATTTATTCACCTTTTCCATGCTATTCATGATTTTATAGCCTTCAGTCTCACTCTGCTCAGTTAACTCTCTCAAGATTTAGACTCTTTGTTTGTTTATTTTCAAAAAGACACCATTCCATATCTTTTATCAGCTTTATCACCCTTCTTTCTACCACTTTGAGAGTGATAGAAAGAATTTGACCGTTCTGGTGTTCTTGGGAATAGCTGTATTTTCCTCAAGGTAGGAAATACACGTTCTGGAATGGATATACACTTACTGGGTTTCTTCAGCAGATAAGGGCAGTGAAGATAAAATCATTGCACTAATATACCTCTACTGTTCCAAGAATTAGAAATTACAAGAAGACACAGTCCTCTGAATTTGGAAAATTCACATTTAATGCCTTACTGTGTTAAGAGTGTCTACTAGCTTGAGGCTTAGTGGAGGCTTATTCTGTATTAGACAATTTCTAGTCTCCTCTCTAGTGTCATTTTAAAGGAATACACTGCCAAAGTTATCGTAGCTTCCCTCAGGATTTTGTGAGATATATTCTGAGATCTTGCGTACTCAGATTTCATTAATGTTGATCCAGAGCTCTTCTATTTCTCTTCATTACAGCTCTATGCAACATGCTTGATAATTTTCCTTTTGTTTCTGTTTCCCCACACTTTCACGCTGTCACCCAAAGTTTCCTCCAATATATCAATACATTTTTGGAATATGTGGCCTGGCACAAAAAGACTATTTAATCATAACTCCTAATGCTTTGGAATTAAAGCTGTAATGCTGACTGTATTCTGCTTAAAGTTTTACAAAATAATGCTGGCAGAGTGGGTGTGCAGTGGTGCCAACTGCAAACAAAAAAGGCATGACAAATTGAAGCAAATATGTGTTAATACCACCAGCTGCTTCTGCTCAAGAGTATGGCTGCAGTTCTGCAACTGTAAAATAAATTAATGGCAGCTAAAACAAAGTAATCCCAAGAGACTCAAATAAAGGCGAGTAGTGCACCCTACACAGCAAAATACCTTTCTAAATCTGGTTAGTGCCTCTAGATTCTAGCACATTGCTCTTACAGCATAGTAATAATTATCCTCCTCCCATCATCTGGTACTGTAGGAAGCCATAAAAAATGCAAACGTGCCATTATCAAAGCAGTATTTCATGTAGAAGATGAATGGCTGAAAAAAAGCAACTAATCTTATTACACAGATTAAAATATGTCAGTGTTGGAGGACAGGTAGTAAACACTTCAGTTCTTGGATGGCTTGCTCAACTGAAAGGGAATAAGTAAATTTCATTTAAATCCTGGCCAAGAGAAAGGGCTTGTAACATATGCTTCTGCAGCCAAGGCATCTACTCTGATTCTTGGTTCTGTCACTCCTTCATCAGAACTACCTCTTTCCATTTCTGCCAACAGCACTTTTTGCTCCCCAGATTTTATATTCTTTTGGCAGGAGAGAAATATGGGTGATTCAGGCACTCTTTCTGTACTACTAATAATGCTGCAGAACTGTATGCTGAAAAGCCAAGGCAGCTTTCAGAGATACTATAACTCAATCAGCAATCTCTTTAGGTGTCTGTTCATCAGCTAACTGCCCTTGGCAAACATCCACTTGACAAAGACGAAATGGTTGTAGCTAGAGCCTTTATCTTTTTTTGGAGTAAGCCAAGAATGCAAAAGATCTGATTCAAGCTATTTTGAATGATCCCAAAATATCCTTCTCTTAATGACAAGATCACCTACCCAGACCTAATGGTCATCTCCCCAGAAGGTCCTGTAACTGTGAGCAACAATCTAACATAACAAAAGGGGAACTAGCATCTTAAACAGACAGTAGCATTACTTAATAAATCTAATCTAAATGTTACAACATTTGACTAAACAAAATCGGTATAAATATGAATGATCCTTAAAAGAAGGAAGAAAGAGGATTAATATAATTTTATAATATATATTCTTCTATGTATTTCCAGGTATCTTAAAATACACATAGACTTCTGTATCTCTCTGAGAGTTTGTTTTTTTTCTAGTTATTACAGAGAAATGTCACTAGTGGGCAAGCTAACAAGCAATGAGACAACAGGAAAAAGGTATATTCCAAATGGCCAGCCTTTCTTAGGTGCAAGGGATATATACCTTTATATAATCCTTATTGATTATATTACTCTTAGTGTACCTAAATGGCTGAGAAATTTCACTGAAGTAACAAAGCAAGTAATAAAACTGTAGTAAAAAAGTTAATCACAACCAACCAAACACATCAAACCACTTATTCCAATTTAAGGAAGAGTTTGTCTAGTTCCTGTGTTACCAATTCTACCATGTTGTCTATTTCTCAGTAGGTTTCAGGCTTCTCTGAAGAGTATTAAGAAGGTATTTGAAAATTTCCCAGCTTTCCTGTTTACAGTTTCAACTTCACACAAATGAAGTGTATTGCTATGGAACAATTATAGATTGCTATCAAGTTCTAATTTTTCCCTGCATGGGAGGAAATTACAAAGCTCTTAGATCTTGAATCAAAAGCTAAGGTTTCGGGTTTGTTTTTTTTCCATGTCTCCTCTGCAGACAAGCCTGGTCCTCCTCAGAATATAAAGCTAGTAGATGTTTGGGGATTCAATGCAGCCCTGGAGTGGTCACCTCCACAAAATGATGGCAATGCACAGATCTTGGGCTACACAGTCCAGAAAGCTGACAAAAAGACAATGGTAAGAAATTGCACCATGTCACTGACTTTGTATGGAGTTTAAGCTACTACCTGCTCTGGGAACACAGAGACTTGAGGAACACAGCTGAATTCCTGACTCTCTGTTCTGTGTCCAAGGTGTTCTATGGCATATTGTAGGCAGTGAAACACTGAATAATAGAGTCTAAAAAGAATCAAAATGCTGAGAATAGAAATGTATAAAATGCCTGGTAGAAAATGTAAAAAGGGAGACCTAGCCTGCCCCATCTCTGGTGGTGACTGGACAGAGAGATCTACTCAGAAGGTGGAATTATATTTTCTATTTGGAATTATATTTTTCATAAATGCAGGGAAAAACTGAAGGGGAGGGAGGAAGAATCTGAGATTTGAACTCAGATGCTAGGCATACTAGGGTATATACTGGGAGAGGTATGTATGACAGTCAAACGTCTTGCTCATGGAAGTTCCCATCAAGAAGTCATGTTCTGAGGACACATCCTGTATCAGGTTGCCCAGATATGAGTAAGGCTAAAATGTAATTTTTTTTTCCTCAAAATCCAATTATTCGTACATCTATCACACCATCCAGAAAATAAAATAAAATGAAATAAAATAGATCAGCTGATATTCATGTGGAAGCAACATAATATCATCTCACAGGCCAGTGTTAAATATCTCTCTACCCTGTCTTTTCCTTGTAGCAAGAAGGATTTCTCCATACCAAAACTAGCACCATGCCTGACATCTCGTAGCATCTTTCTAAACAGTGTAGTCTTGTTACAGGAATGGTATACTGTTTTTGATCACTATCGTCGCACAAACTGTATAGTGTCAGACCTGATTATGGGAAATGAGTATTTTTTTCGAGTCTACAGTGAAAATCTGTGTGGACTGAGTGAAACTGCTGCAACCACCAAAAATCCTGCCTATATCCAGAAAACAGGTAATATATTCTTCAAAACAAAGATCACAAAAGTTACTAAGTACCAGAAGTAATAAATTGGTAAATGGAAATTACAGTATTACCAGATGCACCTTTGGAGCTGTTTTCAATATTTAGTAACTAGCTCTTATAAGGTATTTTAGCATCAAGAGCTCTTATCTAGGCAGATCTCCTGTACTAAAACGAACATTTGTTCAAAAATATTTAATCACACGGCCTTCCTAAACTATATTATTTTAAGAAAATAAGACAACTGGGATGTTATATTTTCACTCTGGGGTTAAAAGTTTAAGACGGCTGTGGTGAAGACTTCCCCTGCAGACATACGGTTTTCATTTTTTTAGCCAAAAACCCATGATTGCCAGGACCTTTAACTAAAGCATTAAACATGAGATGTGTTTCAGAATGAAGTGAATTTAAAAATTTGTTATATTATAAATGCCATAGCTTGGAAGTTTCTCTAAAATGCACAGGCAAACTAAATGACAAATAAATTGTACACAAGTCAACAGAATCGAAAACACAGTTCTTACTATTTTATTTCTTTGAATTGCAGGCACTACTTATAAGCCACCTAGTTACAAAGAACATGACTTCTCCGAACCTCCTAAATTCACTCACCCTTTAGTAAACCGTTCTGTGATTGCAGGATACAACACCACACTCAGCTGTGCTATAAGAGGAATCCCCAAGGTACAGATTTCATCAACTGCCATTGGTACTGTTGCAACAAGCCCAGATGCTGTCTTAGAATCCCCGCCAGTTCAGTGTGACTGCAGTGTGACATGACTATGTTAAGAAAAAGTAAAGGTCACCCAATTATTTCCCACCTCTCTCATAACCAATGCTTAACCCTAATGCACGGTGCAAATGTTTGTGCGGTTGTACACAGAACTAGCAGGGCAATACAGCGAAGGAGACAGAGGAAAAGACAGTCATTGCTTATGGTAACACCAGGCCATTGAAAATGTACCATGTGCACATAAAGTCTACTCACTGAAGAAGGTAAACAACAAAAAAATTAGTATTTTCTCACAATGTATATTTTGTTCTCTTCAGTCTTTCAAGAAAACAACAGGTAATGTAATATACTGTTCCTTTAACCTAAGTGATACGCAGGAACATCAGTTTTTCTGTTGTGTCAATACATCCACATATCTTTTTGAGAGTCTGAGTTATTTTGCAAAATTAGCTAGAGTAAGATCTGCTGTCATGTGTGAAGTTTTGGGGCTTTTATTTAATCTCACAGGAATATTTTCTTAGTCTAAATATATTTGTTGCACTCTCTTCAAAGAGAACAAAGAGATGTACTTTTTTGTTAATCAGGAACAAGCCATAAAAACTGTATCAGCTAGGAACTAAATTTAGGTTTCTCAAAAAAGGGAAATAGGCTTTTTGTCTGCAGTGAAGGAATTTACCATATTATGACATAATCTTGTCATAAATTTAAATTAGTACAATCTCAAAAAATGCAGTATCCTTTTCCCTTCCCCTTCTGGCTGCTTATTTCCAACTCCTCACCCTTTCTTATGCCTGATAGCCACACAGCAAAACATGTAAGATAATTGCTCAAAGTTCAAATTAACTAAAAATAATTTTAAGAAGGAGTAATTTGCTACATTTCATTGGATGAAAAGGAGCTCCAGAAAAAAGTCAAATATAAAAAGGAAGCATACCCATGTAAACAGCTGCAAAAGAACATTATAGAAGAAATACCAGCAATTGTAGGCAAAATCCATGCTCAAGTAGCTGCCTCAGCTTAAATTCATCAAGAAATGGCAGTATTAGTAATGGTACTGCCTCTTGGTTAACTCACATTTTTGTGCACCTGTATCCACTTCATTCAGTTTCCATGGTTTCAAGAAGATTCTAAGAAAAACTTTATATTTTACAGCTGTTAAACACAGTAGTCACAGGCTTTTGAATGTGAGCATGATAGCTCTTCCCTTCACATTAGCTTGAAGGTTTCAAATAATCTTCATCCTAATACTCTTAAAGCAGATTTTCCAGATACATTTCTGTACTTGCATTGCCAAATTAACCTTAACAAAAGGTTTCTGTACCTACTGCAGAACTCAGCAATAGGTCTTTTTCACAGAGCAGCTTATGTTGATAGAGCTTTCCAATTCTGAATAACTGTAGAATATCAAACATACTAAAGATCAGATCTGTATGCATTAAAAAGTTACCACTTCAAGCATAGCCAATATTCAAGCCCTGGTAGCAGTGTTGAAATAAAAGACATATACCTAGAAAGATAAAGAGGCCGTAGAAAAAGAAGCAAAAAATCTTGAGGCAGGAAAGAGATCAGCTGATAACTTTAAATTAAGCATGGCAACTGGGATGCATTGAAACTCTAAGAAATTAGAAACTCTGTAAGTGCAGTAGTTTTATTTCTGGGGGGTGAAAAAACAGAGATATTCTGAAAATAAAACAGATAAATGGAGAGCTTGGTCTTCTACTCTATAAAGCCTATTTCTTCACTATATGTACTAACAAGTTTCAAATAAACAAAAGCAGTTTGCTTTATATCAGATGTTTCACTTTCAAAATTTCATTTATAAAAATTAAAGGCACATTATCAAGTACTGGAAACAAAACACAATGGCTTGAATTGGTGCAGAGCCAACCACTTGATTGCTCAGCTGAAGCCAACTGGAACTTTATTTTGAAATTCCTGAGCTTGCTAAAGAGATGCTAAATGGTTTGGAAAATAATTTCCCAGGACAAATCTTGTCATCCCAAGTTGGCCACCAACATCCATGGACGTTTATGACACTTCTGCCCTAATAATCTGTGCAGTTTAATTCCCCTTCTGTAAGATGCCTTAGCATTCTAATTTATTTTAATAAGTACAATTAAATAACTCCTGAAGGGATGTTTATAGGGTTGTTTTAAAATTTCAATAAAATAGGCTACAGACCTACATTCTCTGCATGCTGTTTGAAAGTTAAAGAAAATAGTGAACATCTGAATTATTAGTTTCATGAGTTTGTATTGAATGAGAGGTTCCTTGAAAAATTACTAACACTGCTATGTAATACATAGCCCTCATAATGCATAAACCTTTGATGATGAGAAGCTAAAGTAAAGCTGTAAGATCAGCCATAAGTCTTCCATTTTCTACCTTCTATTTTAAAACTCTTCTTTTGTGTTCTTCAGCCAAAGATATTCTGGTACAAAAACAAAATGGATCTCTCTGGGGATGCCAAATACCGCATGTTCAGTAAACAGGGTGTGTTGACCCTGGAGATCCGGAAACCCACTCCATTTGACAGTGGCTGTTATACCTGTAGAGCTGTTAATGAGTGTGGTGAAGATGAAATAGAATGCAGACTGGACGTCAGAGGTAATCAGATTAATCTTATGGATAACACTAATACTGCAATGAAGAAAGAGTAACGGACAGCTAAAAAAACCCAACAAAACCAAAAAAACCTCAGTTTCTCTTTATCTAACCCTGACTTCTTTGGTTGTGTATAAAAAGTTTGTTAATGACACGCACAAGCAAGACTGTGGTTTTCATTCTAAACAGTTATGATAGAATTAGGCTACTTGCTAGGTAATACATACCTGAAAGTGGACAATTATTATGCTTCTGACTTGGTATTTCCAGAGAAGATATTTAGCACCAGAATGGAGGTCTATCTAAAAGCACTACATTGTGGATAATTTTATTATCTTTTTTGCCATACTCTGCAATTAAGCAAATAGTCATTAACCACATGTAAGAGGTAGTGCATGCTACATCACAAACATTTTTCAAACATTGATAATTTATTTGATTGTCAAAAGGTCCAGGGAAAAAAAAGTCACGTGTTTAGAACACAGTAAGAAATATTGACTAAATATTTTTGGCAAAGCTGCTACTAATTTATCTGTTTGTCAATACAAACCTATATAGCACCACTTTAAATGCTCATCAAAACCAGAAAAAGCTGTGACCTGCATAACAGCCAATGATGGAGATCTGCCTTCAGCATGGCAAGCCTGAATGTATTTCTACACAGCACAGAGTTCAGTGTTTTACTCAGTGCTAAGTCAGGAATGTGTACACAGTACACCTTGCAGTGCTGGGCACCGGTATCCTCACTGGGGTCTTGGCAGCAAGCAATTTGGCAGCATTCAAAACCTGCCTGAAGGCATTCCTGTGTGACCTACTCTGGGTGATCCTGCTCTGGCAGGGCAGTTGGAGTAGATGAGCTTTCAAGGTCCCTTCCAACTCCTAATATTCTGTGATTCTGTGTGATTCTGTGATAAGTACAATAATAGACTCAGGGTAGGAGTTCTGAAATGTCTAGATGATCTACGCAGCAGCTTATTAAGACATGCTACTTTCAGGTCAATGGCAAGCCCAAGCATTTCTGTTCAGTGCTGTACTGCACAGTGTAGACATGGCTCAAAGATTAACATTATCATCTTCTGAAGCCTGCCTTAGGAACATTAAATCTCCTTGAAATTATCAGATAGAAGTAATTACTATACAGCTTCTGTATTTTACCTTCAGCATCAAGTCTCAATTTAAAATTAGCATCCTTTAATGTCTGATTATATCTTATTTTTCTTTCTCCAGCACCTCAGTAAAACTCTGAATCTTGATTCATCTGCAAGTGAAGGTAAGAATCAAAATAATTCAGCTGGATAAAGGAGCAATGGCTGTTTATTAGATATAAGATTAGGTGGTCATTAAGTTGGAGACTTTATGGAATTTTTTTAATGTTGGCTGGGGGTGTGTGCTTGTTTCGATTTCTGTTTGTTTTCTTTTTCAATAATGATACTAAGATCACATTCCTGCAAGGTAATCTATTTGGTTTATTTTAAAGTCAGGATTCCATGGGTTGTAATCTGTAATATCCTGTGCCAGTGTCAAAATCTGTAAGAACACTAATTAGATATATCAATATTTCATTGATTTTTTTTCTTAACTCGCTACAAGCACTCCTTCTAGGAGACTGTTATTTATTAAAATAGAGCTAACTGATATCAATAAGCCATGTGAATTACTTTAACCAAACAAGTAGAGTTAAAATTACAATGCATCTAGAAGTATAATGTACATTTTGGACTTTAAAAAGTGAAATAGCTGTAATAAAAAAATCAGGTAATGTATTTGACAATAAATCTTTCTCCCCATTCTCTGTTTCAGCATTGGTATGGAACTTGAAAAGAATGAAAACAAAGAAATTAATGAAGGATCATTTCAGTTACATTTAGGAATCCTGCTCATCTTAAAGGTCATTTAATAGATGTGTACTAGGAGGTCACAGTATCTTGTAGTGTCCTGCTTACTCAGCATACTTTCAGATACTATTTCCTCTTTTCACATATCCGTTTTAGTAACATTGCCCCTGTCTCCATGTGAAGAAATTAAGGGAAATCAAGATAAAACTTTCCCCCATTACATAAACAATGTGTCTCTGAAAAAAACACCAAATATTGCAATTATGTGCAAACCCAGTCCGTTCCTAATATCTGAAATGAACATAAATTGTCCACTCCTACAGTTCTCCCCATTTTCTCTTCTCAGAATTGATATTCTTCATAAGAAACAAGTAGCTCAGAATAATGAAACACTGACAAATTATTCGTAATATTTAATCACCTTTTGTTACACTGATCTGGGCACTACAGAAAGTGACTTTCATTCCTACTGCTTTTAACACCAGTGCTTGAAATATCCACTTCTGTGCTCTTACGGAGATCTTTGCAGGACAATGTACGAAACACACCATTTGGGAATCTGTGGCTTAAGCTACCATTCTGCTTTATATAGAAAATAGTTTCTATTTGATAATTACTCACTACTGGTTTTCTAGCTTTTAAAAAGACACCAGCATAGAATTCCAGTTGTTAGATGTTCCTGAAACCAGTCATAGACATCAAACTAATCTACAGAGATAATTTTGTGCATCAGCTGAAGCAGTAAAAGATGTAGCAAGGAAGATTATCTCCACAGAAACAAAAAATAAAGTCAAAACAAAAAGCTTGTGATGAATGCAATAAAATTACCATCATCAAATATTACTGAAGGCTTTTGAAAGTCTATGAATGGTATGTATGTATGTATGTGTGTTTGCACATGTTTTTTTCTAATCAAATGACACAATAGCACTTCTGGCTTCTCACCTACTAGTTTGTGTAGTATTTGGAGTGGGGTTTTGTGGACCTGCAGTAGCTGTTAATAATTTCTGGCTGGAAAGGACTTCTTTCATGATCACAGTACAAGAGAAGGTAGGCAGATGAAATTAATCCAGAAAGCATCACCTTTTGGAAGAATCAACACAAAAGAACTGAATTAATACTACTTCCCTGCCTCCAACATGCTAGTTGAGATGGGAAAGCATTGTCTGACATAGCATGTTAATTGTACTAAATGAGCAAATACATCTTCATAATAAAAACACTGATGGTAATGAGAGGTGTGTTTTGATTATTTTGTTATGGTATCAGAACAAAGAAAGGTACTCTTCCTTTTTGAGACCACGGAAGAAGTCAGGAAAAAGGAAGACTTTGCCTCAGTTGAAGAGAATTAGGTTAGAGAATGATTAAGTAAACTGGACATCTACAAATCCATGGGCCCCAATGGGATGCACCCATCTGAGGGGGCCGGCGGAGGCCATTGCTAGGCCACTCTCCGTGATCTTTGAAAAGTCCTGGAGAACAGAATAGGTGCCTCAGGACTGGAGGAAATCCAATGTCACTCCAGTCTTCAAAAGGGTAAGAAGGAGGACCTGGGTAACTACAGGCAGTCAGTCTCACCTCCATCCTTGGAAAGGTGATGGAACATCTTGTTCTTAGCCACATCTCAAAGCATGTCAAGGAAAAGATGGCATCAAGAAGAGTGTGGCCAGTAGGTCAAGGGAGGTTATCATCCCACTCTACTCTGCCCTGGTGAGGCCACACCTGGATTACTGTGTCAAATTCTGGGCTCCCCAGTTCAAGAAGTATAACAAACTACTGGAGAGAGTCCAGCGCAGAGCCACTGAGAGGATGAGGGGACTGGAGCATCTCCCATATGAGGAGAGGCTGAGAGAGCTGGGTCTGTTCAGCCTGGAGAAGAGGAGACTGAGGGGGATCTCATCAATGCTTATAAATATCTAAAGAACAGGTGTCAGGAGGATGGAACCAAACTCTTCTTGGTTGTGCCCAGTGAAAGGACAAGGGGCAGGGGTCACAAACTGGAACACAGGAGGTACAGCTTAAACATAAGGAAAAACTTCTTTACTCTGAGGGTGACAGAGCACTGTACAGACTGCCCAGAGAGGTTGTGGAGTCTCCTCTGGAGACATTCAAAACCCACCTGGACATGTTGCTATGTGATCTTTTCTAGGTGATCCTGCTCTAGCAGGGGGCTTGGACCAGATGATCTTCAGAGGTCCCTTCCAACCCCTACCATTCTGTGGTTCTGTAAAACCAAAGTCAATTTATCCAAGGTTAACATTTGTCTGTTGCACATTGCTATTATTCAACAAATAAATAAAAAAGATTAAAAATATGTAAACAAGTTTACATTGTTTTGTACTTTCATTTTCTGAGCAACACTACAATTTAAAAAAATAAGGCACAGACCACACATAAAAGTCAGAGACATTCCATACTATAAGGAACTTAAGACCAGAATGCAGTGGACTGAGAGGATCATCCCAGTATCTGTGGGACAATGTCTACTGAAAAGCAGAGACTGAATTGCAAGAGCTTAGATTACAAAGTACAGTTTACCCTAAGGAGAGTTAGGTGCTATACCAAATACATTCTATTATCAGCAGGGTGTTACACAAAGACAGTAGACTTTCATGCTGTAATAGGGTACAATACTGAAAGGGAACAAAAATAAATCAAGAGTCACTAAAAGAATGGCATTTTCTGCTCAGTTCTTAGCTATTCAACATGAGTAAAACTTTTTTGGGAAGATCAGTGCTTTCACAAGTGAACATTTATTTTACCCCTCAGCTGCTAAAAAGCGTTATACTGCAAACTGGTGCTTTCACTAGATGTTAGTCAATATTTTTTTCATGAAATTTAATTGCCTACGTGGTCACTAAGTGTGAAATCCTAAAATACGAAATAGATTTTCAGAACTCCAAATTGACTTTCTATTGTTTTGAAGTCCCCAAGCTAATGACAATCAAAGAAATGCCTACTCAAAAAAAAAAAAGGCCAAGATACAAGAACTTTATGCAGGGTAGCACCAAATAGTTAGAATCTATTTCTATGGGGTTTTCTAAGATAACGATGTGTTTCTACATGAAAAACACAAATTAGTTTTAACTTCCAAAACCTTCAATGACAAGGAGTGAACCAAATCCAAATCTGAATAATTATCCAAGAAAAAAGCACACTCTAGTGAGGTTTCTAAAAATTATTCCTAAAAATTTGAATTCTGAAAATTCAAAATGCTGACCACTCCTCACACACTGAAAATAGGAAAAGGAGGAAGGTGTGCCTGCAAGATCTGAAATTTCTGTGATTAGTTCTAGAAAGGTCTTCAGAAAATTTTACATGTTTATTGATGTTTTGCAAGCATATAGTATCGTCATTTATCTGTTCCAGGCCTGATATTGATCCTGAATGAATAGTTCACTAATTGTCCATTAATTCCATATTGTTAATAGATAAAGAAATTGCTTTCATCCCAATCTCATTAAAACTACATAGACTGAGCAGTTTCTCTCAAACCTAGCTGGCTAGGAACAACACAGTATCTCACAATTTTTCCCATCACACCTGAAACGCTACTTAACCAATGATGGTTTTAATTATCTTCTCCTGCATGGGATCTCCCAATGTAAAAACATCTCTCAAAATCATGGCAAATATTCTGACCTTGTAGTTGTTAAGCACTGTTAGAAAGAAGTGTGCAAGCTAAAATCAATTGTAAAAATGTTAACATGGGCCACAAAATTAAGAAATTCTTATTTACCGGCATTCTCTTTTAGCATACTAAGGGCCTTTCACAGCTGACAGCAACTACTATCAGTTTCTCCTGTTTTTCAGCACCATTGTGTAAATCTTATAAGGAAACAATGTTTACTTGCTCCTGGCAATGGGAAGCTTCACTTAATGCTCTTTATAAAAGCCACAAGATGGAATTAAACTGTCAAATGCAAGAAAATCTTACTGGAACTCCTCATTTCCTTTAGTTACTCGAGATTGCCTTAGTGCTCAAACCTTGACCATTATTCTATGAATAAAAAAAATAATAGCAGAATAAGTTAATGGTTGACCAATGCTTCATAAAATAGGAAGAAAAAAAAAACAGTGTATGAAAGCCAGGGGAAATAAAATTCAAAAGCCAAAGCATGATATACATTAAGAAAACAATCTTTTTCTTCAAACATAACTTCTGAAAGATTAAATATCACCTCCTCTGAGCCTATGTCAGCTATTTTCTTACTAATTTGATTTTAAAGCATTACCCAAATATTTCTTAAAAGGCACAAAACGGAGCTTCTCTTCATGAAGATCACAGACAACCTCAGAGCAGTGATGCAGGTTGTTGTTTTTTGTTTAGTTGGTTTTTTAAATAAATAAATAAAAATAAATAAATAAATAAATA